GGATGTTAAAACTAGAAGATTTTAGTCCACAGTTCTACTAAATTTAATTTGATGGGAACTAGATGAAAATGTAATAAACACCAAAAAAATTCTCCCTGTTAGAACTATAAATAATTACAGTATTGCTTCTCACTTTCTTCTCTCCTGAGTAAATACTTCTGAAACGTTGAGGTAACTCAAGCTTCTAAATGAGAAAAGATTTGGCAAAGCCTCCGAGTCAGTCTTACTCTCCTCGTTGCCGCCCGCCCATCACAGGTTTCCAGTATAAGGTCAAGAAAAAACAGAAATTTACATAAAATAGATTGGGGAAGGCCAAATTATTCCAAATTATCCCAGTCCCTTTTCTTTTTTCCCCAAAGGAAATGGTTGTTGATGCTCCGAGGAGTTAAACCATAATAACACATGCCAGGAAGATGACGTCAGGGAAGGCGTGGCCAGGCCCTTCACAAGTCTGAAATTCCTTCAGTCCCAAACATTTCCTCTTTCGCTCTCACCTACATTCAAATCTCTCCACTGAGGCAGCGCCCTCCAATGGTGAAGAAAGTGTTGAGACCCTAGAACACGGACCTTTTTACTGCAGTCTTTTTTATTTTTAATGAGCCAAGAGTACTTGAGGGGCATCAAAACAGATATATTTTTTAAATGTACTACATTATTTTGTAGAATCTCTGGTCAAAATCCCCATTTTCCCCCTTCTGTGGTTATTTTAATTCCAGAGAAAGGAGAGGGTATTCGGCATTACATCCTGTGAAAGAACCTGCCTTTATTAGGCATTATATATTTGTTGTTTTGATTTGCATTTCCCTAATAATTAGTGGTGTTAAACATCTTTTCATATGCCTTCCTTTGAAAAGTATCTATTCAGATCCTTTGCCTGTTTTTTATTCCGATTATTTGTTTTTTATTGTTGAGTTGTATGAATTCTTTTATATGTTTTGGTATTAACCTCTTATTGGAAGTATCATCTGCAAATATCTTCAACCTTTTGGTTGATTGCCTTTTCGGTTTGATGGTTTCCTTTGCTGTGCAGAAGCTTTTTAGTTTCATGGAGTCCCGCTCACTTATTTTTGCTTGTTTCCTTTGTCTTTGGAGTCAAATTCCAAAAACACCACTGGCAACCAAGGTCCAGAAGCTTAGTACCTATGTTGTCTTCTATGTATTTTACTGTTTCAGGTCTTACATTCAAGTCTTTATCCGTTCTGAGCTAATCTGTGTATATGTTGTAAGACAGTATCTAGTTTCTTTTGCACATGGCTGTCCAGTTTTCCCTGCACCGTTTATTGAAGAGATTTTTCCTTTCTCCATTGTCTGTTCTTGGCTCCTTTATCATAAATTAGTTGCCCATGTATGTGTGGGTTTCTTTCTGGGCTCTCAATTCTGGTCCATTGGTCTCTGTGTGTTTTTATTTAAAGCAGATATTTATCTGAAGTTTTTCAGAAGTTTAGAGTTTGATTGTCCTTTCAGTTTTTTTAATGTTTCAACAGGTCCAAAAACTTTATTGCAGACTTGTTCTACTTGAGAAACTGAGTTCTTAATAGAAATGGTAAATAATCCAATATCCAGATTATGACTTTACCTTGTCACAGGAGAAGTGTGGCAGGACACCTGTACCAAACTGCTGCGAGTTACTGTCCTTGAGGGGTGAGATTTGGGTAATAAACTTCAGGACATAAAGGGAAAACCTGATTTTTAATTGTATATACCTCTTTATGCTTAAGTTTTATTTTTTTTGTTTGTTTTTAATGCGCATGTCTTATATTGACTACTAAAAACTAACCCTGACTGGTGTTCTCAGTGGGTTGAGCATCAGCCTGCAAAGCAAGAGGTCACAGGTTGGATTCCCAGTCAGGGCACATGCCTGGGTTTTGGGCCTGGGTTGTGGGTCCCCAGTTGGGGGTGAATGAGAGCCAATGGATTGATGTTTCTCTCCCTCTCTTTCTCCCTCCCCTCCCCTCTCTTTAAAAATAAGTAAATAAAATCTTTTAAAAATAAATAACAAAAAACTAATAAAAGTTACTTTAAAAATCAAATCTTTGCTATAAGTATGCACAAATTACATGAGCAACTCCACCCAAAACACTCTCCTCAAAAGAGAAATGAATGCATTGAGCCCTATATTTCAACACAAAAGCAAAGAGCAATGTAGTAATGCTTTAGTTTAAATAGATATACAGCCACAAAGTCATGTGATCATATTGACCTATAAGAACGCAAAGAATTCTTGACAAATACTTTAGTGAATATGTGAGCACGCATTCCCCCACCAATGTTTCCGGAATTGTTTCTCAAACCTTACAAGTTATCAAGAAGAGATATAAGATTTAAATCCAAATCCATAATCGTACCTCTTTGCCCCCTGTACTATCCGAGATTTAGAAAATGGTTAACTGCTTTTTTACACTGTAAGAGGGGAAGGGAGTAGAGAACTGAGAAAAGATTTTAGATAGCATCAAATATGTGAAACCCCTGATAGGAAAAAAACTAATTCTTGTAACTCATTTTACTTTATTTTAATGGGTCTGAGTAACTGGAGAGACTTGGAGGGAAAAAAATAGGAAAGAAACTTTCATACAGTACTATATGAAATTTGAAAAGAATAAGGACAGATGAAATATCCCTCTATCGAAATCATAAATCCATATATGTATGTGTATATATTATAGAAAACCAATAATGGACCCATATTTTTTTAAGGACACAAACAGAAAGAGTACCATACAAACTAATACCCACAAACCAACACTAAGTGTTTTGAGTCTATTACCCACTGCCTTGATATCTTTCTCTCTCTCTCTCTCTCTTTCTCTCTCCTATCTACCTGTAGTAGCCCTGGCCAGGTAGCTCATTTGGTTAGAGCTGCATCCAGATACATCAAGCTTGCAGTTTGATCCCGGTGAGACACATAGAAGAATCAACCAATTAATGTATAAATAAGTGGAACAACAAATTTTCACCTGTCTGTCTCTGTCTCTCCCTTCTTCTCTCTAAAATTAATCAATCAATCAACCTGTAATAGTCTCTCTAGTTATATGAGAAAGCAGCAGGAATTATTTCCTACCCTCCACCACTTTCCTCAAGTGATCAAAAGATCCCTAAATGCCTAGGGTATCTTTTTTATTCAAAGAACAGCGACAACACCAGGAGAGGGTATGCGGTCTTTCTGTTACAACACGAAGTCCCTCCTAATCCAGCACTGTGTGTCCTGAGATACCTGAAACTGCCAAGGACAGTCCCTGGGAAATGCGGGCATGATATCCTCCTCTCTCCAGACTGCTCACATGCCCAAGCACAGCACAACTCTTGGGCAACCTCAGGTTAATCCTAAAGACTCCAAGGATGCGGGCTGAGCCTGGCTATCTGCAGATCTCAAAGTACCAGCGCTGCAGCAAAACCCGAAGAATCACAGACCTTTCTGCCTTAATCCTAAAGTACGTCTTCTCTTCAGGCTCTTTTCCTTCGGCGTGGGCTGGGTAGGGTCTCTATCTGGTCTAGAAGAGTATACCCAGTATAATACTCTTCTAGATGAAGCCGTGGTGACTTCACTGGGTATTTCTGCTGCCTGATAATGCTGGCAGAATGGGTAGGAAGAAAGGCGGAGAGGGAAGAATGGAAACACTTAATCAAAAAGATAAAATAACATTGGAGGGGACAGGCTGGGGGCCGGGGTCTGAGATGACATGTTATCCCTGTGGAGACGGGCTGTATCAGCAGGAAGTCGGACTAACTTCATTTCTCAAAGATACAAACTTGCAAGCTTGATTTGTTTTTAGTTCCCCTGCCTTCTCCAGCGTGGAAGACTGTACAGTTCCTGGAACTTCAGAACCAGGTGAGCAAAGATTCCAGAAAGTGGAAAAGAGAGAGGTGCTGAGATGAGAAAGGAATCCTTTTCCTGTCTTCGGGAGAATGTTAAAGCCACTCCTCGATTCCCAGAAAAGGAAGTAGCTGAATTCCAAAAAAACACTTTTCCCTACCTTTTTGTTGTTCTTGTTATAGCCAAAAGTCGAAATCCCAGGTCTGGAAGTCACCGATAGCAGCATTTTTCTCTTTAATATTAGGGAGCTGAGAGAGGAGAGGGAGAGGGACAGGGAGGGGGAAGAGAGAGAGGGAGAGAGAGTGAGGGAGAGGGAGAGGGAGAGAGAGGGAGAGGGGGAGAGGGATACAGAGAGAGGGAGGGAAGGAAGGAGGGGGAGGGAGGGAGGGAGAGGGTGAAGAGAGGGGGAGGAGAAGGGGGAGAAAAGGAGCAAGAGGGAAAGAAATGAGGGGGGGTGGGTAAAGAATGAGCTAGGGCCGCTCGTTGACGTCACTGAGAGAAGTTAACCCAGAGTCTGAATGAGGCACTACCACTGGGTCCTAATGCCCAAGATGTTATTTTTTAATTTTTCACAAGCTTAGTAGTTAAAACAAAGGAAAAGTTCTTAGGTCTACCCCTTTCCATTCCAGCCCCTTTCCTCTGTGAACAAGTTCTGATTCTCATGAAAAGACAATGAGAATGCTTTTCCCTTAAATGTCAGCCATAAGAAGATTTCAAGCTTGATTTTAAAGGGGCCTCTGGGACACACTGCTTTGGAAAACATGGGAAGAAACCATCCTAAGAATACACGAGATGAGCTCAGGACTCCCCCCACCCCACCCCACGCACAATTTCTATGCACAATGATCTCAGCCTATGAACCAAAAACAAACAGGAGAGCTCACCAAAGCACAGAGAATGTGAGCAATGACGAGTTTCAGGTCCTTGGACAGTTCTAATCCTCCGGGTCATGCCAATGGGCCGATGCCTCTCGCTGCTTTTCAGGTTCTTCCAGGTAGGACTCCAAATGTCAGAAGGAATTATCAAACTGGACTATGTCAGAAAACGAGGTACCTACTGGTTTCTTTTTCCCCTGGCTTTCCTGGGATGTAATTGCCTAGTGGTTTCTTTGGCTGTCTTATTAGACTCTCCATCCCACTATTCCCCAATCTTCAAGGTCCATGAAGCTGAAACAACTGGAGTTACTCACCCAACCTGGAATTTATGCCCAAAATGAAGTTCGCAGAGTGGAGACGTTTACTTCCAGTTGTCTCTGAGCTGTAGGAAAAAAACAACTATTTAAAAAGCATGTTTTAGTCTTTATGAAAGACTAAAAATACGACGTTCTTAGAAAAGAAGAACATCAACTTAGAGTGAAAAAACTCACACAGTTGCAACACTCACCTCTAAGGTTCAAAGGAGTGTCCTGCAGAAGAAATCTTAACTAGGAAAGAAACTTGTAGGAAACCAGAAATTTAAGAATGATACCCAGTAACTCCTACCAGTCCAAGTGGGACTGGGATGCAGAATGAAAGCCTTCAGAGCACTTACGCCCACCTGCTGCCATCATAGATACTGTGTTTAGACGTCAGTTAACCCTCTCCGCTTTGCCACAGCAACCAGCACACTCAGACCCTCCCTCCCATGAAGTCCCGATCTCTGCTCTAGCTGTCCTGTCACTTTCTGCTATGATAACAGGACAGACAGCACTAACGTTGTGCAGAGTAAATACACACACACCACACCCCCAGTCTCTAACTCTCGTTTCCAACGGGACAGGAAGTGCCTGCTCAGCTCAGGGGACACAGGAAGGGTGGGAACAGCCTCACTGTGGGAATTGCAGCAGAGATTGGAAGCACAGCGGCCAATGCAGTAAATAAGTTAATATAGTCATCTCTCAGGGACACGATGTTTTTTTCAAGTCCCTTTTCTACCCTCGGAGATTCTCATTCATTATATTCCAAGTTATCCTTGCCATTTAGCCCCTTAGTTTATGTTTTCTCCTTTAGCCTAACGATGTGATACAAAAACCTTCACTTTTTAAGGCCTGAGTTATAATGGGGTTTGTAATGGCAGTCAAATTATTTTATAAAATTCTAATACTATCAATGTGTTATGTTCTCCTACTACATTTCTTCCTACTCAATTGTACCTTAGAATTGAAAACAGGTAGGCATTGGCAGGGTAGCTTGGTTGATGCAAGTGTAGTCCTGATACACCACCATTTCGGGTTTGATCCCAGGTCAGGGCACATATAAGAAGCGACCAGCCCTGGCTGGTGTGGCTTAGAGGATTGAGTGCCAGCCTGCAAACCAGGGGATCACCTGTTTGATTCCTGGTTGAGATGTGTGCCTGGGTTGCAGATTGGGTTCCCAGTGAGGGGTGCACAAGAGGTGTCCATGTACTGATGTTTCTCTCCTTCTCTTTCTTCCTCGCTTCTTCTTTCTCTAAAAATAAATAAATAAAGCATGGGCTGCGAACCAAAGCATTGCAGGTTGGATTCCCAGTCAGGGCACATGCCTGGGTTGCAGGCCACGGTCCCCAGCAACCACACATTGATGTTTCTCTCTCTCTCTTTCTCCCTCCCTTCCCTCTCTAAAAATAAATTTAAAAATAAATAAATAAATAGTCTTTAAAAATAAATAAATAAAACCTTAAAAAAAAGAAGCAACCAGTGAATGCATCAATAAGTGGAACAGCAAGTTGATCTCTCTCTCTCTTCCTTCCTCTCTAAAATCAATGAAAAGTAATAGAAGTCTATTAAAATTTTTTTTAAGAATTGGAAATAGTTAAAACCATAACTTTTAGAAAGAAGTAGACATGAATTCAAGTCCAGGCACCACTGTTAGCCACTATTTATGTAACTTTAGGCCAAGTTACTTAACACCTCTAATTTATTCATTTGCAAAATGAGATAATATCCACTTTATTCGCATTTGGGATCAAATCTAAGTTCTGGTTTAGTTCTGTCACTCACAAGCTGAGCGATGCTAGGAGAGTTACCTCACATGTCTGAACCTTATGTTTCTTATCTGTAAAACAAAGTAAATAAATAGTATCTACTTCCTAAAATTGTAGTAAAATGAAGTAAGGCAATGTATACAAAGGTGCCTAGCATGTGGTGAACACTCAGTAGATGGTTGCTCCATCATGATTAATTACTCTACTGTCTCCCAGTGTGCACTCCTCTGGGTATTGTATAACCCAGATTTCACGATCTAAAGTGAACACTTCCAAAAACTAATACCTTAGTGACAATCAAAAGATTATATGACTCAGAGTGGAGGGGCGACTGGGGGGCTGGGTGGAAAAGGTGAAGAGATCAAGCAAAGGAAAAAAACCCTCATAGACAGAGACAACAGTATGGTGATTACCAGAGAGAAAGGGGAGGAGTAGAAGAGGGTAAGGGGGGCATAAAAAGTGGTAGAAAGAGACTTGATTTGGGGTGCTGAACACATGATACAACATACGGATGACGTGTTATAGAATGGTACACCTGAAATCTACATAATTTATTAACCAATGTCACTCCAGTAAATTCAATAAAAATTATTTTTAAAAGCCCTGGCTGGTGTGGCTCAGTGGATTGAGAGCCGTCCTATGAACCAATGGGTTGCTGTTCAATTCCCAGTCAGGGCACATGCCTGGGTTGCAGGCCAGGTCCCCAGTGCATGGCATGAGGGAGGCAACCACACAAAGATGTTTCTCTCCCTCTCTCTAAAAATAAATAAATAAATAATCTCTTTAAAAAATTATTTTAAGAAAAGATTATTCAAGAACTGGGCAAGCTAAACTTTATAACTGGAAGTACTGAATAAGAAGTTTTAGGAATCACCCAATCCGATTTCTTCTCTTTCTCTACCTTCCAAACAATCTGATTATTCAGAAATTCTTTTCACAATTTTCAATGTTCTGGTAATTGGTGAACCATCTCTTAACTCTTAAAAAAAAAAGGAAACAAAATAATGCAGAACCAAAACACAGTAGATACAAGAAACCTCAGCTCCCATTTCTCTAGAGGCCTACTACTCTAAGAAATAGAAACAAACGTAGGAAAAAAAGTGGGGTTTTCATTCATCCTCACATTTAACACCACTTCCCTGCTCTAACAGCAGACAATATGAAGTAAATTCTATTTTACATGAACTAGTACAAAACACTAGGCTGCCAAATAAGTTTTGGGCCATAAAAGTAAAATGATCCAGATTTGTGAACTGATTTCAAAAGCTGATTATGTCATTGCCCCAGCCAATGTGGCTCACTTGGTTGGAGCATTGTCCCATAGACCAAAGGGTGGTGGATTTGATCCCCAACCGGGGCATTTACATTTCTCTCTGACATTGATGTTTCTCTCTCTCTGTTTCTCTCTCTCTCTCTCTCTCTCTCTCTCTCTCTCTCTCTCTCTCTCTCTCTGCCTCTCTCTCAAAAGCAATGAAAAAATGTCCTTGGGTGAAGATGAAAAAAAAAAACCTAGTTGATTATGTCAAAGAGCACCAACAATACTGAAAACTACATCCTTTATTCTGATAAGTGCACACGTATTTTTAAAGAAAGTGCCCTGGCTGGTGTGGCTCAGTGGATTGAGTGCCAGCCTGGGAACCAAAGGGTCGCTGGTTCTATACCCAGTCATGGCACATGCCTGGGCTGCAAGCCAGGTGCCCAGTTGGGGATCCCAGTTGGGGGTGCACAATAGGCAACCATACATTGATGTTTCTCTTCCTCTCTTTCTCTCTCCCTTCCCCTCTTTAAAAATACATAAAATATTTTTAAAAATAAAAATAAAGAAAGTTATGGAATTTTTGTAGGAGTGATAGAGAAGGTAATGGAGTTCTATAGTTAGATTCAGGAAGCATATGAGAGGAAGGAGAACCCTATTTCTTCCAGTGTGTTTACTTTGTCCCCTAGTTTGCTTTGTCCATTATAGTGCCCATATTTTTCTAGATTTAGTCAACACTTCTCAAATTCTTGGCTCTAATAGGTCCAGAACCCAAGAGTTGTGTTGAGATGAAAAACTAAAATAAATGTTATTTGGATCTTTTCTTGGAAAGGGACATTTGTACCTCTGATTTAATGTAGACTCGTTTATGACTTCTCCAGAATAACACACTTTTAAATAAGTGTCTTGGGTAAAGGACTTGGCTGAATCAACCATGACCTGTATGCTGAAATATATTTGTATGCCCCTACTGGCCCCACTGCATCAGGGTGGAGAACTCAAAAGAGTGTATTACCTGCAGATGTGCTAGACCCTAGTTAGACACGCAGCTGGAGCCAGGTCGATATGGTGCACGTGACTGAAAGCAGTGAGGAAGGGCCAGTTTGCTACTGAAGCTCTGAATGTGGTTCAGAGACCTGACCAAGGTAGATTAGGGCCAAGGACACTTTTTTTTATTAGCTATTAACATTCTCTGTGGGTTATCTTTCCTGCCACTGATTAACTTGTGTGCACAAAAGACTAATGGAAACAAACCAAAAATTGAATTTATTTCATGGTTAAGAAATGAGTGGTGTGGCTCAGTTGGTTGTGTGTCATCCCACAAAGCGAAATGTCACAGGTTCGATTCCCAGTCAGGGCTAGTACCTGGGTTGTGGGTTTGGTCCTTGTCAGTCAGGGTGTAAGAGGCAACCCCTCACCTTGATGTTTCTCTCCCTCTCTTTCTCCCTCTCTTCCCCTCTCTCTAAGCATAAATAAATAAAATCTTTTAAAAAACAGACAGAAGTAGAAAAAAGTTTATTTAACATATAAGCTTCCTTAAGCAAGAAAGTGAAAAAGTGAAAAATAAAAGTTTATTTAACATATTGTATAAGATTCCTTAAGCAAGAAAACTTAAAGAGATGCATCAAACAACCAAGAAAAGCCGACCGGTTACCCATTCTGATGCAGGATGGAATGACAGAACTGGTCTGACACTAGGAATTGGGAAGGAGTAGCTAGCCTCTCATCTCCTTGATTTAACTGACTGGAAAACAGGAGGAAAGACAGACAACTCTGAATAGTTATTTATCTCACACCCTAAATATCAGTGCTTATAGTGTGTTCTCTTCTGTAGCAACAGATACTTTGGTCAAAAATAGCAGGGAATATCCTAACAAAACTTTCAAATACACTTGTCCTTTGCCAGACAGTAAAGAAATAGAGGAATCAAATTATATAAAATCCCCCAGCTGTTCCACTGCTGGTATTACCCAAGAGAGATGAAAAATATGTTTACACAAGGATTTATACACAAATGTACCTAGCAACTTTATTAGTAACAATCAAAAACTGAAAACAACCAAATGTCTATCAACAAGAGAATGGGCAAACCGTGGTTACTCCATACAACGGAATCAGATGTGAAAAGGGATGAACTACTGATACGAGCAACTGCACAGATGAATCTCCAAAGCATTACTTGAAGCAAAAGAAGCCCGCCACAAAAGTGTACAACACTAAGTGATTCCCTCTGTATGAACTTCTAGGAAAGGCAAACGGAATCTGCAGTGACTGGGGCCAGGGATGGGGGAGGTGGATAACTGCAAAGCAGCAGGAAGAAACTTTGGGGGCTAATGGAAAAGTTTTATATTTTGATTGTAGTGGTCATTTCCACTCACCATACAGTACACTTCATTTTTTTTATAACCACGGTGAATAGTAAGAACTGTGTGTGGATGGCCAATAGACATAAGAAAAGATGCTCAAGGTCACCAACCATCAGAAAAATGCAAATTAAATCCACAATGAGATAACATCTCACACCTGTCAGAATGTCTATCATCAATAAATCAACAAACTAGTGCTGGTGAGGATGTGGAGAAAGGGGAACCGCACTGCCCTGTTGGTGGGACTGCAGAATGGTGCAGCCACCGTGAAAAGCAGTGTGGAGATCCCTCAAAAAATTAAAAATGAATCTGCTTTTTGACCCAGCTATCCCATTTCTGGGAATATATCTGAAGGAACCCAAAACACTAATTCAAAATAACATAAGCACCATTACTTACAATCACCAAGATATGGAAGCAGCCCAAGTGTCTATCAGTAGATGAGTGGAGAAAACAACTATGGGACATTTACACAATGGAATTCTACTTGGTCACACAAAAAAAGAAAATTTTACCTTTTGCAACAGTATGGATGGACCTGGAGAACATTATGCTAAGTGAAATAAGCCAGTCAGAGAAAGACAAATACCACATGATTTCACTCATATGTGGAATCTAATGAACAAACTCAACTCACAAGCAGAACAGAGACAGACTCCTAGATGGAGAGCAGATGACAGCTGGGGGAAGGGGGAGAGCAGGTGTTGGAGATATTAAGCAAAAAGGAACAAGGACTCATGGATGTGGTCAACAGTATGATGATTGCTGGGGAGGTGGTTATAAGGGGATTAAATGATAATGGAAAAAATACAATTAATATTAAACTGAAAAAAGAGAAATGTGTGTATGTAAAAATATATATATACATATACATATATACATATACACACACACTATATATATATAAAAATCACTGGCCCAGAAAATTAGCATAATATAGAAAGAAAGGACAAGACAATGCATATCCAGAATGGACTTCATTAATTATATGGTTATATTACATTCTCTAAATGCATGTTTCCTTTATACCTGAGACATTAATTTTGCTTGGACTCAGCTATCCTAGATTAAAAATAAACAAAAGCAGAGAAGTAAGCTTACTTGTACAAGGTCATGAGAGTCAAATATGGCATAACTGATCCCAGAATCCAGACTTGCTGTCTCTCCATTCAGCGCCCTTACCATTCCTTTCCATGCCACTCTGATTTGCCTATAGAATTAAAAAGTCTGATAAACATATATTTTTGGATCTGAAGTAATAAAATAATCCTGGAATTCCAGAGGTGAAAAATCAACCATTTTCCTCAAACCAACTCTTTATCTCAAGTAGTACTGATACCTAATATTTTGGCCTATTCATCAATTGCATAGTGGGTGATATTTCTAGGGATAAACTAATAATGCAAACAAAAAAGAAAGATTTGTAGAAAACTACAGTTGTTGGCCCTGGCTGGTGTGGCTCAGTTGATTGAGTGCTGACCTACCAACCAAAGGGTTGCCAGGTAGATTCCCAGTCAGGACACATGCTTGCTTGGGTTTCAGGCCAGGTCCTCCAGTTAGGGGTGCATGAGAGGCAACCACACATTGATATTTCTCTCCCTCTCTTTCTCCTTCCCTTACCCTTCCTCTAAAAATAAGTAAACAAAATCTTTTTTTAAAAAAGAAAACTACAGTTGTTGGGAAGTGCTGTTAATTAAGTACTCAAGATTCTACCCAAGGTTTGATTCACTATATATGAAAGATAATTTGCTAGAATCCTGTTTTCCTTCTGGGGATGATTTGTACCATATCCTGAAACTCTCAGATAAAACATAAGATTTGAATATAAGAAAAAGTTTCTACATGGCTGGTGGGGCTCAGCGGACTGAGTGCCAGCCTTTGAACCAAGGGTCTCCAGTTTGATTCAGGGCAGTCAGGGCACATGCCTGGGTTGCAGGCCAGATCCTCCAGTTAGGGGTGAATGAGAGGCAACCACACATCAATGTTTCTCTCCCTCTCTTTTTCCCTCCCTTCCCTTCTGTCTAAAAATAAATAAACAAAATCTTTAAAAAAAAAGAGTTTCTAAAATAATAATATGCATTATTTATAAGACCACTAGTCCCTAGCAGTTTTTACCAGAAGCATAAGCTTGATGAGGACAGGGACTGTGACTATACTGTATACCACTATAACCCTAGCATTTAACAATACCTGAGTAATTTAAAATTTTAAGTATTTGTTCAATGAAAAAATTATTGGAATATCTTGAACATTAAACTCACATTTGAAAAGTTATTGCTCATTCAAAACACTGAAAATAGTGTTTACAGTGATGGAGAGGCCCATTAGTATACCTCTGAGCTTTTTCCTTTTTTAAAAAAAGACTTTATTTATTTAATTTCAAAGAGGGGAGGGAGGGGGAAAGATAGGGAGAGAAACATCAATGTGTGGTTGCCTCCTACCCATCCCCTACTGGGGACCTGGCCTGCCACACAGGAATGTGCCCTAGACTGAGAACCAAACTGGCGACCCTTCGGTTTGCAGACTGGCACTCAATCCACTGAGCCACACAAGCCAGGGCAGATTTTTAATTTGTATTTACAATATTATTTTCATTTTATTGTTTATTTTTAGGTCATTAGAAAGTCAGAGAACTTGAATTTACTTGTGTCTCTCATCCGTGTGTCAGATAAAACTATACTTCCATTAGCATATTAAAAAGTCACCATCTCAAAAGGTCCATTATAAATTTGTAGTCCCATAGCATTTTGTACAAAATTTTCATATGTGTTAACTCTGCTTGACTGCCCCACTTCTTGCACCCGGACTGTGAGCTCCTAGGAAGCAAACACTAACTTTACTAATCTTTTTTATCTTTAACTTTTCTCTTTTTCTCTTTTTTATCTTCTTTATCTTAAGAGGTTAAGACAGAAAGGGAAAGTTAGGTTTATTTGACATTCTGGGCTAAAGATCACCTTCTGGTTCCAGAAGGAAGGTCATTGCAAGGTGAAAAGAAGAGCAGATGCTCAGTAATTAGAAGTCTGCCCTGCCCTCTGGACAGGTAGGTCATAAAACATAAACATAATTTATGCTAAGAATGTTAGCTGAAAGAATACAATTTTCATTTCCTTTTAAGTGTCTCCAATGGAAAAGGGAATTCTCAATGACTGTAAGAGAACACTGCCATCTCCTGGGTAATAGTGGTATAGCATCCTTAAGCAAATAACACGAACACAAAGCACAGAATTTGTAGTATGATCAGAAGTTTGAAATTTAAACCTAGCTCTACCATTTGCTGTGTTAAACTGGAAAATCTCAATCTTTTAAAATATCAGTTTCCTCTTCTACAAAATGAACACAGTACCTGTTCTACCTCTCAGGGGTTATCATGTGTGGAGGAGGAAGAAACTTTCCTGTACCCTCCTAGGTTTTTTTGCATTTTGACTGCTCTAATAATTAAATCAACATGAGCTAGGTTAATAAGAGAAAATAAAATGAATATATCCATATGCATGGGGGCCCCATATACATGAAAGAGTCAGACACCTCACTTGCATGAGAGGTTAAGACAGAAAGGGAAAATTAGGTTTATTTGACATTCTGAGCTAAGGATTGCCTTCTGGCTTCAGAAGGAAGGTCATTGAAAGGTAATAAGAAGAGCAGATGTTCAGTAATTAGAAGTCTGCCCTGCCTTCTAGATAGGTAGGTCATAAAAAGTCATTTCTGGTGACAACTCTCATTATGGGCAAGGCCCTAATTTAAATTCTTTAGGGGGGAAGTAAAAGTTTTTTGTGAGCTTGCAGGAGCTTGATTGCCTTCAGCTCAAACAGCTCATGTGCCCAAGTGGCACATGATGGGGAGGGCCGTACTGAACCTCCACACAGGACGGTCAAGTCAGATAACGACCGTTCAAAGTACTGTGCTGATGACAAAGCAAGTTGTAAGTGTGGCATGTTCTCTCTTATCCCTTACTACAAACCCAAGTAAATAACCTGCAGCTTGAGGGTCAGAGACAGCTCCTTAAATCTTACATGGCTGATGGCAAGTGTCTTTCTTTATGCGTTAATGTAGACTCACTATCATAACATTAAACTGTGTTCATGTTTATGCTAAATTAAAAGTACACGGAGACACACTATTTCTCACCTACCAGACTGACAAAAATCCAAAAGCCTGACAATAAACTGTAGGAGAAACTGTGTTAAAATGCCACTGTGATATATTGTTTGTGAAGTGCAAAATAGCATAATTTCTTGTCACTTTATCTAGCAAAACTGTGTTTGCTTTTACCCTTTGGGCCTAACAGTTCTACTTATAGAACTATATTCCAAAGATACAATGGTAAAAATAAGAAAAGACAGTATGTATAAGGCCTATTCATATCGGAAAGCAAGGAAGCTATCAAAAACTGCTGGATTGGCCCTGACAGGTATGGTTCAATTGGATGGACATCGTCACACAGAACAGAGAGTGACGTGTTGGATTCCTGGTCAGGGCACAAGCCTGGTTTTCAGGTTGGGGCGCATGTGCGGGAGAGGCAACCCCGATGTTTCTCTCCCTTTTTCTCTGTCCCTCCCCCCTTTCTGAAGGCAGATAGATAAAATCTTAAGAAAAAAAAACTACTATGTTGTTTAACTACACAGCTCAAATTAATAATCTTAAAATGAGATTTGAGTTTGTAATGAGTACTTTAAAAAGTTAATATCAAAATCATAAAATTAAGATTGATGTGTGTTGTGAGTCATATCTAAACCTAGGTATAAATATATTAAATTTGCTTTCTGTTTTAATTTCAGGGGAACTACTGTTTTGGAAAGCTATTAAGTAAATATTTTATAAGTTACTGTTTCTCATTTGCATGTATAACCTAGTGATTTTAGCAAACTCTTCTCTTTTTTAGAGATTTTTTATTTATGCTTAGACAGAAGGAAAGGGAGGGAGAAAGAGAGGAAGAGAAACATCAATGTGTGGTTACCTTTCACACACCCCCTACAGGGGACCTGTTCTGCAACCCAAGCATGTGCCCTGACTGGGAATCGAACTGGCAACCATTTGGTTTGCAAGCTTGCGCTCAATCCACTGATCACACCAGCCAGGGTGCAAACTCTTCTAAGATATACATCAAACCTAATAAACATTAAAAATTCTATAAGCTCCTAGACAGTTTTCATTTAATTATTGATTAAAACATTTCTTTTCCTATTGTAAGAAATGTGAAGTTTTTTGATTGTTAAGAAAAGAATCTGTCTTCCATCAAAACACCCCTACAAAACTGCTGGGATGGCGTCAAAGGGTTCAAGAGTCAATTTTAGGGGATTCCCACAGCCAAAGATGGGACAATCTGAGCCAAAAATAATAATAATGGCAAAGAATGTAAACACATCAAAGTTATTAAAGTTCATAAATTCATAATAATTTTTAAAAACTGTAACTGATTACCTTCAGAGGAATTGGAACCAACTTATTCTTAAAATTAGCAAGTAAAGAGAAACGAATCAAGTCACAGCCCATCTTTTCTATATAAAATATATCTCTGAATAACCAGACAGCCGATGAAGCAAAGTCCTTTGTTAGAAGAGTTCAGAATAATGAGTCAAAGAGTGACAGGACAGCACCACTTTGCAGTCCCTAGTGAAGCAGCTGATCTGGGCAATGATGATCAAAAGTTATTGAAACCATTAGGTTAAAAGCTGTCTGGGTATAATAAAAAACTGTATACAAATATCACATATGAATATGGATATAAAACAACAAAATATTAGCAAACTGAATTCAGCAATATAAGAAAAAGGATTATACACTGTAATCAACTACAATGCATCCCTGGAACATGAGGCTGGTTAAACATCCAAAAATCAAGTAATGTAATATGGCATATTAATAGAATAGAGGACAAAATCCTTATCATCTCAGTAAATACAGAACAAGCATTTGACAGTATCTAATACACATTCATGATAAAATCTCTCAACTAATAGAAAATTTTCTCAAGTTTGTTAAAGCATTGGTCCCCAACCTTTTTGGCACCAAAGACAGGTTTCGTGGAAGACAGCTTTTCCACGGAGGGTGGGTGGCAGGTTAGGGGGTGAGGGGACTCAGGTTCTCACCTTCTCACCCGCCACTCACCTGCTGCTGTGGATGAGGGGGCAGGGTAGAGACAGAAGCCGGACCTCAGGGTTCCTAACAGGCCACTGACAGCTTGCCACAGCCCAGAAGTTGGGGACCCTCGTG